TGCAAATCGGGACAGACACAAACCTGCTGTAGACACGCTCCCCCGGTGCAAACTGGGGCTTGCACAGATGCATCACATACCGGGGTGAGACGCACCAGTGCAAGCCCATCTTACCCTGAGACAGCACATGCATCCCGGGGGTTTGCACTGGTGCAGCTACCCCCCAGCATGTACCCCGTGCCCAGGCCTTACCTGTGCTCTCCCTCCTGCTCTCTGGCAGCTGCTGAACTGCATCATGGACATGGTGGAGAAGACGCGGCGCTCCCTCACCGTGCTGCGCCGCTGCCAGGAGGCCGACCGCGAGGAGCTCAACCACTGGATCCGCCGCTACAGCGATGCTGAAGACATGAAGAAAGGCCCCAACCCCCCACCCCGCCCCCACAACAGCTCCTCCAACTCCGAGGCCCCCCCATTAGGTACTGACGAGCCCAGCGGAGCGGCTTTCCCCGCACGGCGCGGGCGTAGCAGAGTGACTCAGGGCCGGGGCGGCGCCTTCCTAGGCTGCCTCCCGGGTGCCCAGCCCAGGTCTGTTTGGAGAGCTTGCAAAGAGCTGGATGCTTTAGCAGAGCAACCCCACAAACACCTGGGCACCCCCTGCCGAGCCTCTCCCCTGCAGCAGCTGGAGGGCTTGGGCCGAACAGCACTCAGAAGCGAAGTGACCGCAGTGTAAAGTGCCCGGGGCGTGGCTGCTGGGTACCATCCTCCATTCAGTCTCTGGGCTGTCTCTTTCCTCTCCTGGGTGCAGGACTTTACCATCAATCCCTCCCCGCATTGCCTGCAGCCGTGCTGCTCCCATCTCGCCGCCGGGTCCCTCAGCCCTTCGGCTCTCTCCTCCCCACGAGATGCCCCCTCTCTCCCGTTTGGGGTCACCCGTGAATTTGATCAGAACCCAGCAGCAGCCCTGGCGCTCCTCCGATACGTACTGTCAGCATCCACCCCAGGGGGGGACTTCGCTGCCCTGAGCAAGTGGAAACTGTCCCGACAGCCCCCAGTGCCTGAGACAGAGAACAGCCCCTGGGCACCGCCAGCCCGGCTCTGTCGGAAGGGCCGAGCGGCTCTGTGTTCTTGAGGGAACCGTGACCAAGATGGAAGGTGCCTTCAGTGGCATGAGCTCATCAGCCGAGGTGACAGAAGGGAACGAAATGTCACAGACCTCTGAAATCTCAGCCATGCTGCCAGGCCTTGTTACCCGCCAGCCCCTAGCGACTGAGGGAAAAGGCTTCCCCACCCCCGCCTCAGCCATCCCCTCAGCAGGACCTCATGCCTGCTGGTCTTGGGGCCCGGGTGCCGATGGCAGAGAGCTTCACTCCAGCTCTTGGTGGTTCCCTTCCCCTGAGACGCTCCATTCCCGTTCCCTCTGCAAAGCATCACCGCCGGAGGCTAGAGTCCCTCCCACAGCTCGCCGCGCTCACTGGGCTGCCAGGCGCATTGTATTGCGAATAAAAACCAAAAGGTGGGTGGCTTCCAGAGAGAGCCTGGCAGGGGATGCCCTAGCCTTGAAAGCACTGGAAGGAGAGCCCAGTTCTCAGGTAGGTCCCCAGCGAAGATCAGCATCTACTCAAGACAGGTGTATTCACTGAGCCACGTGGGGGCCGTCCTGGGTGTTTCTCGCTGGAGTGGGCAAAGCCTGCACTATGCCTGGGTCTAGCTGGGACGTTCCAGGGCTCACTTTTACAGGCACTGAAGTTCACTCTGCTCCGCCCACTAAAACCCTCGCAGCGAAACCAAATACAGAGCAACCCGAGTACTCCCATCTGTGAAAGAGAGCTAATGGCCCCCTGCCCTGCGCTTGTGTCGTCATTCACACCAATGCCAGCTCAGGCACCATTTTGAGTGGGTTGCACTTGACACGCCCTTTGCCCAGGTATCACGGCGCCAGGTGCCAGGTAGAGGAGAACCCGGGCGTTAGCAGCTCCCACAGCAGCTCTGTGTGTATCTTGGAGGCAAGAGCAGGCAGGGATGGTTTCCACTGTGTCGCTGTCAGTCTCAGCACTGACCACACTGTAGCGCAGCTCTCCTGGGCTGTTGGTTAGGTTGGACACGCTTCATTTCTTCCAATTTGTTCCTCTCCCCTCTTGTTTTCAGACACTCACCGGGAGTTTGTGCCCAGGCCCCTCTCTGGTTACATGCCCGAGGAAATCTGGAGGAAAGCTGGTGAGTGTGCCACCGTGGGATCCCCTGTCCACAGCCCGGCGCGGCACTGCCCGGCGTGAGGCAGTGCATGAGTCCGGGGGGCCCAAACCGTGCCCGGCCGAGCCTGAGGCCAAACGCATCCCTGGGTCTATTGCCTGGGCCTCGGTGGAATTCCCCTGCTGTGTTTCGGGGGCTGAGATCGGGGGAAGGAGCCCTGCTCATTAGGACACCCTAGGGACTGGCGAGCGTTACACGGAAACGTCATCCCTATGCCTCCTTCCTTGTCCCCCGAACCAGCGGCTGGGAGGGGGGTGGGACCTGATCCAAAGCCCATTGAAGTCAATGGGAGTCTTTCCACTGGCTCCCGAGGGCCTTGGATGAGTCCCATAGGGACTTTCACACCCAGACCGAACTCGGGAGCTTACGGACAGGATTGCGCTCACTGTAGGCCAGTTTTCTAGCCCCGTCTCTCTGGGGCACCCTTACATGTAGAGCACTCCATGGGGCTGGAGGGCAGGGATGAGGGGGAACAAGCTCCCATCGTTTCTGATGGTGCCGGACCCCAGAGGCCGCTCCTCCCACTTGTTCCCTGCAGTTTAGTTTGTGCCTTTGGCTGGCCCGTCGCCGGGAGAGCAGGAGGGGATCTGAACTCCATGGAGGGATTCTCTGCCAAGACCTACCGTGGACACGTGGGATTTCCTGCCGTCCCTCTGCTGGAGCAGGCACCCAAGCTGCTGTCCTTGGGCAGCCCAGGCTTTCAGAAAAGCTCATGCTTGGTTGTTGGGCGTGATGGGCCGTGGCTCAGCCTGGCGCCGGCACTGGGCGAGTCTGTAAAAGACAGGCGATAGAGAACATGGTCAAGGCGTTCTCCCCGTGTCCTTACAGTGTTTTAAGATGCCCCTGCCCTCCCAGAAGCTTTCTTTTGAACCCCTCACTGCACGTGTTTTTCCTCCATAGCATGCGCTGTGGTTGACAGATGGTTATGTGGATAACAAGACCCTCTGCAGTTAGAAGGAGTGCATCAGGGTAGAAACCAACCCCTAGCTGCCAGCGGTCAGGAGGAAACTTCCCCCTATGGGCTGCTTCTGCCACAGCTGTCCACTCTGGGCGGGTTGTTGCACCACCTAGCCTCTGGTGCTACCCACTGCTAAAGACAGGATACTGGGCTGGCTGGGCCATAGGTCTGAGCCAGTCTGGCAGTTCCCCCCTTCTTCCGCCTGAGAGCTAGGCACACAGTGTGTGTGCATGGGTGTGTTCATGTGTCTGCACATGCGTGTGTGTGCGTGTTCATGTGTGTATGCACGTGTGCAAAGGGCTGGTCTGTGCTGCCAGCTGTGTTTCGGAAAGTCAGGCCTCCCAACCTTGACAGCAAAACCCCAGGTAGCAGCTGCCCAGACTTGCCATCTGGTCTCCTGCTGGTGGCTTGCCCCTGCGGGCCGTCGGCTCGCTGGCTGCGCTACATGAGCTGTGCTCTTCCTTTCAGAAGAAGCTGTGAACGAGGTGAAGCGCCAGGCCATGTCCGAGCTCCAGAAGGCGGTGTCGGACGCGGAGCGCAAGGCCCATGAGCTGATCACTACCGAGCGAGCCAAGATGGAGAGGGCCCTGGCAGAGGCCAAGCGCCAGGCTTCCGAGGACGCGCTGACGGTGATCAATCAGCAGGAGGACTCGAGTGAGGTAGAGGCGAGCTCGCCCCGCTGCGCAGTGCTCGCTAGGGTAGTAGAGTTTAACCCTTGGCGTGCTGACACCGCGTGCGCCCCCAGCGTGCGAGCCAGGGCTGGAAGCTTGCTGTGAGGGGGCTGCCCCGTTACAACCCCGGAGTTCAAGCATTTAGAGCTCAGGAGCCTGGTTTTTAAACCAGATCAGCAGGCAATTGACCCTGCACCGTGGGGGCATCCCAGCTCCCACGCCACGCTCGGCCCATCCTTCCCCCAGGTACTGAGGGTTTAGAAAGATCCAATACAGTGAAATCTAACTAGTGCCACCCGCCCGGGGACTGCCTGAAAGCGGCCAGGGAAATTGTACTCGTTGGGGGCCTGAACCTAAGACCTAAGACAGAGGTCTCTTGTGTTCAGTGGGTGCTCGGGATCCTTTGGACGGTTCCATCCCCCAGGGGGTGTCTAGCGGGGCTGGGTCTCTCTTCCAGGCTGCACCGCCCCGACGCTGATGTCTCTGCTTTCGCCCTCTCGTACAGAGCTGCTGGAACTGCGGGCGCAAGGCCAGCGAGACCTGCAGCGGATGCAACACGGCCCGCTACTGCGGCTCCTTCTGCCAGCACAAGGATTGGGAGAAGCACCACCACGTCTGTGGGCAGACTCTGCAGGGCCTCCAGGCCTCCGCTGGCGCAGCCCCTTCCTCGGGGGTGGGCTTAGGGGTGGGCTCAGCTCAACCGGATGTGGTGGCTGTCAGCGCCTCCATCACCAGCGTGGCCACCATGGCCGCCAGCCCCAGCGAAACCGGCTCGGCTGCTGCGTCGCGCTCCGGCACGCCGGCCACCCCAGCTCCTCTGGAAACAGCATCACGCTAACCAACCGACCGGCCAGCCAACAGAGGGGAAAGAAACAGAGAAACCTACAGAACGTCACTGCTGCTACTGCTTCTCTCCAAAAGAAAAACTAACTGCATTCAATGCAACTTCCTCAGCTACCTGACTCTTCTGTGACCTCCAAATGACCTCTCGATCTCGCATATGTAATCCTCACGGATCCTCAAACTGGGCTTTAAGTGGAGTTAAGGCAAATACCAATCTTCTCTGTTCTCGCTTC